CGGATAACTCTCAGTGAAGTCTCTATGAGTCCTGTTGGCCAACTTTCACCCCGTCTCGTCCTAGCCAGAGAGAAGTCGGTAAGTTGTTAACCGAGCTTCGTTCATTATATGGAGGACAATCCTACTTACTTACCTCTATCTTGATCATATCAATCTATACTTCTAATTGAAATCTTTGTTGTATACACATACTGCAAATTCTGGAACGAAACGAATTTGTTTAAAGATTATATAATGACATAAACTTAAATTTCTGTAAAACAAAGTTCCAAATGGAATTCTTTTCATTATTCGTAATATGATTGACGTTTCACATTTACTATCAAGAATTTAATTCCTTTTTACAATATCCAATTATTTTATTTAAATTTTATTAAAATGTTGAAAATCTTTTTTAAATGTTTTCAAATCGAAAAATCAAATCCATAATACTATTACATGAACCATTTAAATGCTATAAAATTGGAAATAAATTTTGTATGATTCTAATGCACCATGAAATTCGAAAGTCAGTAAATTTTTAAAATAACCATTAAAGTATTTTGTTAATGTTGATCAAATAATAAAGTAAACACAGTTAACAAAACATAAAGAGAAAAAAGGAAGTTACAATGCTTATAATAGAGCAACTAAGTTGTGCCTCTTGGAAAAAAAATAAAAATAAATCCGGATCAAATTGATGGTTTGTAAAGTAGCACTTTTCACTTAAACAAGTCATAATGATGTTTTTTATTTTAAAAAACAGTTTCGTAAAATTATTTTACGAAAAATGCAAAATTATTTCATACTTTTCGAAAAAAGAACCAAAATTGAAAAAAGCATTAGCATATTATTCGAATTGGAAGTTCAATTACGTGACCTAAGACAAAAATAATTACATTTTTGGATGCGTTTACACTCTTCATTAGCTGGCTGCATTGATAGAAATTTAAAATACCTTGCAGTTTCGAAAATATGAGACGAGTTGCAATACGCTTTTTAAGCAGATGCATGGACCGGATGACGGACTTAATGAAACTACCAAGCACTTTTATTTAAAATTTTTGTTAGAAAATTACTAAAAACCAAAATTACACATCTGGGTGACTTACTTTTTTATTACATCTTGTATGAAATTTTCGTATTTCCTTTGATATTTTAGAAGAAAGAAAGAAAAAATTACGTTATGTACCCAGCTACTTTATTTTCTTTTTTTAGGAATTTTTGCTTTTTATTTTAAAATTTGTATTAGAAAAGCGTCCAGTTTTCTTTTTTAATGTTTTTTACATTTTAACTTTTAATAGTACATTAAATTAATTTATTCATATATGTACAAACGTATGTATGGTATGGCATTTTATGGTAGAAAAAAAATTGTAAAGGAAAAGATTATCTGACCATATAATTTAAATTAAAAACAAAAGTTACATACTAAAAATCTAATCGAATTTAACAATTAACTATTTTTTATTTAGAAAAAGAAAGTTATAAACGATAGCTTGTTCAATTAATAAAAAACAAATGTTGAGAAAAAGGAAATGGTTTCAATTGAATAAAAAACGAAAGGATAATCTTTTTAACCATAGTAATGCTATCCGGAAGCAGATTAAAGGGAAAATATGAAAAAAAAATTTTCATTAAACAATTAATTTTAATTATTATTAGATTGAAATTTCAAATTTCCGATTTATAAATTAAGATTTTTCAATTACTTAAGAACAAAATTAATGCAATGGGTTTAACATACGTAGTAATTGAACACAAATTCTGAGGAATAAGAAAATTTTCGTGGATGACTGAAAATATGACTAACAGAGCAGTTCTTTTTAACTGCAGTCTAATTATTACTATTATTAATAATAAGAGCGTTACAAAACAAAATATTCTGATTAGAGCAGCACATTACCAACTGACATTTGCCATAAAAAAATTCTGTTTAGAACAATTTTATGTGAGCATTTATTTTGATTATAAAAATTATATTTTTTTGCAAAGATCAAAATCCCGTGTATTGTGGAGCACTATGCCTCAGGTATTTCGACACTCATTTTTACATGCATTTTAGTTTTGTTAAATAAAATTTAATTTTTAATTAATTTTATTTTCTAAATTATTTTTATGCAATTTTTTTTCCCTTGGTTAAATGTACCATAGGCCAACTTTACCTTACGAATGGGCTGAAAATGAATTTAAAGCAAAATTATTAAACATAAAAGGCTCATATTTTGCATTTTAAATGGTAATATAACATTTTTTGATTGTGGTCCTTGTTCGAATTAAAAAAATTTAAGATAACGGAGAAAACTGCAAAAACAAAATAGTTGGTTCACGATCACCGCTCTTACTATATGTACAAATAATGTAAATTTCCCTTTTAATAAGAATTCATATAGATTTGCAAAATTCTTTATAAATTAAAAGTTTCAGAATGAAAAAACTGACTTTACATGAGACTTTTACGAAATGCCTTTTATTAACATAGTACTATGCTTGACATAATCTTAATCAGCTAATACTCTATGTGAACTCAATACCAAATTCAATACAAAATAAATTCAAAATACAACATTTTTCACGAATTTAGTATAACAATTCATTGTACTTGCAAGAGATTTAAAAAAAAAAAATTTAAATTAATCAACTAATGGACTTATTCTAAACCTAATGGAAATAATAATTTCCATTTGAAAAATATTTTAACTTACTTATTATAAGCGCTTCCGCTCTCGCTGTAAATGTAAGTTAATCTTCACTATTGTACAATACTCGCTATGCCTTAAACGCCAACTAATTATGATTTTTTGTTGTTGTTGTTGACTGTTATACGTTGCTTTTCCATTTTTTTTTTCATTTTAACGTTATTAATGTTTATAAGTACATAATATGGATCTGGAGGCATACCGGCCATTCCGCCTACAATATTTAATTAATTTTTCACTTTCTTTACAACAAAATTATTTTTCATTTTGTAAAACAAAATAACAAAAGTTTCTGCTCATAATGAGTAGTAAATCATATTTTATGGTATTTGGGCATTTTACTTTAATTTGTAATTACCTATAATAAAAACAGAAATTGAAATATGGTTAACGAAAAAACAAACAGTCATGAAAATTGAATAAAATTTTGTGTTCACAAAAATTTCCAGTTGGAAAATTTAAAAATTTGTAAAAAAAAAACCCCCATGCAAATGACGGTTTCATCGGACTTCAAAACGAGAAACAAAAAACAATATTCAAAAAAGCAAAATAATTTTTAGAACCCCTAAAACTTTAAGCCGAATAAAAAATTTCCGCTCACCAAATTGCGAATTATGATTTTTAATTAAATTTTTATCATTAATTTGAAATTATCCATGTGGTATCTGGGTTCTGTGCATGTTTTTACATCATTTTTCCTGTTTTACAACAGTTGTCATTATTCGGATTTAATGTTTTTTTCATAGTACACAGTTTCAAATAATAAAAAAATTTATAATGATTTTAAATTGCCTCGTATGATTAACATTCTGTGACATTCAAAAAAGGCATGCTCTTTACGCCACTTTTAAATTTTCTAATATTTTCCACTAGAGTCGCCAACTTAATATTAAATCAATAATATTAATTTTCACTGCAAACAATATTAACATCCGTCAAAATTGCTTCCTCTTGTTGTTTTCAATGCGGTCTATAATAAAATTGATAACAAATGGATTGAATTAAATTTAACAAAGCTCTTATTTCGCTTTTGGAAAATTTGTAATTTATATAATGTATATCGAAATTCTGTTTGGTACCAATAGTTAGGGCTTATAGAATGTAAGAGAAACAAAAATATAAGTCAAGAGTATATTTTTCAAAAATATTTAGTATACGAATAATATGAGGTGATTCCGAAAGGAGTACAATGTTATATTTCATCGTTTAGCTCTTTCAAAAAATGTTTAGAAACCTTCTATATTTTTCGAAATAAAAATTATAAGCTGAAAAGATTGGGCAACTAGATATTTCAAGAAAAAACTTGGAAAAGGTAATTTTATTCATTTTTGATGCCCTAAACGATGATATTTAATACTGTAATCTTTACTGAATCACCCTGTATACGTTCATCTTTAAAACCCCATACAACACCATTCAATATTCACTATTCGACACCTAGTTATTACTGTTCAAGAAAACTCAAATTGTTGAAACAGTCACAAGAAAAGTTTAAAGTAAGTTATTTAATAATCTGGCATGACTGACGAGCCAAAGTATAAGAGCATGCATTAAAAACATCAGACTCTAGATTCATTATAAATATTTTGCCAAAAACAAAAGAACAATATTTTTTTGTTATTTTGGAAATAAAAGTTTTCAAAGACAATTAATTTTAATAAAGAAGTACAAAATAAAATTTTGTGAGAATTTTAGTTTTTCCCTGGTTTTTCCTTTTTTTAATAAATTTCAGTATCTCTTCAGAATTTTTATCAAAATTTATATATACATACATATAACTATTTTTAGTGACATTCACATTATATAGAGAGAAAATTCAAAGTCAATATACAAATTTACATATTTACTATTAGTATACAGCTTTTTAGTAGCATTTACATACATTTATAAACAGCAGTAGTATGACACAAAAAATTTGTTTATCACAACGTAAGAAAAATTTCCAAAATTTTAATTAATATTGCCACATCATTGTTAAAATTAATTTTATAAAATTAAAAAATTCTTGCAGAAAACTTGAATCTTATAAAAAGTTTTTGATATCTAGAATCAAGCTAAAATTAAAAGTTTTCGTAAGTTTTCAAAAGTTTCTTTGAAAAATTAGAAATTCCAAATAAATTAATTTTTATTATTAAAACTTAACTTTGTCTTAAAACCCGATAATTGATATTCAAAACCATAATTTGGTTTTAAAATGTTGTACAGTTTAAAGTTTATAAAAAAAGAATATTGTTTAGGATTTGCGTAGCCTGATTATGCATTTCACCTTTTCAATTACCTTATTCTCTTAATTTTCATATCGGAGTTTCCCAATAAACTTACTCATTTTCTTTGACTAAATTTTCTTATTTTATCTCAAAATGCTCAAAAAACAAAGTGAATGAAATTTTCAAAATCCAAAGAGTCATTTTTTTGAGGTTATGAATGACAAATTATCTCATTGTAATACTCACAAATTATCTCACCATAATAATATTGGTTGTAGCACTCGTGTTAAGACAACGTTTATTTCACTTTTCTCAATTTATTCAACAACTAAATTACGTTTTCCATTGATTTCTACTAACTGATACTGTCGAAATATTAGTATTAAGTTACTTGTTTCAATTTAACATTTCAGCTGTATTTAGTTTGAAGGATACTAAATCGGGAATGTTACTTTTTTTAATTATTCTTTGCCGCTCAATTAAGGTTTTTTTCTGTTTCGAAAATAAATGAAACCGCAGCTTCAGTCAAGTGTGCTGAAATAAATGTTTTTCGTTGTAAAAGGGTTTTCCAAGCATACCAAAATTTACGCATCATACCGAAGTTGGAACCATTGAAGTAATTCGTGAAACCAAAGTCTTATACTAACCGTGGCAGCGGATTAAATTAAGAAAAAAAATTTTTCTTATCGTACTCGGATTCGTATAAGGAAAAAAAGTTAAATGCGACAAATTTATTTGTGTTTATAAAAGGTTTAAAATGTACAAAACCCAAATTTTGTTTTGCTAATAAATCAGCTTTGGTTTAATGCGAGTTTCTTATATACAATTTCGACTGTACATGTAAACAATTTTGAAATTTAAAGAAAATCTTTGTTAATTGAAATATTGAAGTGAAAAGATCGTTTTCCTACAACTAGTTTTCTTCGTAAGGCCTGAATTAAAAAGCACATTGCTGATTTAAACATGGTATGTAAAATGTGATCTAAAGAGAATTTTTTGTTTATTTAATTAAATTTAAAAAAAATTTTGTGCTCGAACTGGACTCGAACCAGTGACCTCGACTGAGCTACAAAGGTATGAAGAAATTGCCGACGAGATGCTCTTCACATTGCTTTATACTGTAATCCACATGATTACACTTTTGTTTATTATGTGCAATGTGAAAAAACTTTTAAAATTGTTTAGCCTTTATCTGTCTCTATCTGAATCAGGAAATAAATTTGAACTAATAAGTAAATAAGTTTCCTTTATTAAAAGAGATTTCAAAATTTTTAATTTTGTCAACTTTAATTTTTCTTATTCAATAATATTTTAAAGAAAGGTCTTTTTAGAGGCAATATAAATTTCTTTTTTTTTGTATGTATGTGAGAAAAAGGTGAAAATGTCACAAAAAATTAACAAATATTTGACAAAAAAAACATAAAATTAATCACAATTTCTCTCACATTGATTTATCACCATTTATAATACTTTTAATTAATCACCAAAACTTTAAAACACGTGTTTTGCTGATTCATTGAATATTATTGTGAAGTTACACACTCTATACATTATATTATGGAAAAGTGAATGAATAGCCCAGAAACTCCATTATAAGATCAATTTACTAAGATGAAAAACTAAATGACTGGTTCGGTTGTTACCCTTTTCTTAAATTTATTTAAAATTTTTCTCAAATCCATTGTAAAAAATTCAAACTTAAGAAATTCCATTCATAATTTGCATAATACTATAAAAATTTGTTAAATACCACAGCAAGTATAAATTTCGCTGTGTTTCTCAAAATAAGATGAATAACTTGTGATCATGCTAAAAGTCTATAATAAAATCTTAAATTTATGGCCCTTATTTACATAGTTTTAAACACAAATTATAATAACCACCGCAAAACTTGACACAATCATATCAAAATTTTATTTTTATAAGCCATTAAATAACACCTTTAACAATATCAATCGTGAAAATCAATATACATATACATATATATACCAGTTTTGCCTATTTTATATACATAAAAGAAAAAAAAGCAAAAAAATATACAATTCTACAATAACATATTAATAAAAGAAGAAGACAGTAATTGAAAGAGACATACATACATATAAATATGTGTATGATTGCGAACTTGTACTCGTATATACGATGGAATTCCGAGAACGTATATAAATCTTTTAGAACAGTTTTAAAAAATTTTCCTGCATCATTATAAGAAAATAACAAATCGAGATGAGGAAGCTCACAAAACGTGAAATTTTGTCAAAACAGGTACATAAACAAGTAAAAACGTTTCAGTCGGTAGAAATCTATCCTACACCTAGAAAATCTGAGTAAAAAAATTTGTTTTCGAAATATTTAGAATTAGTTTTTAATTGTTTATACCAATTCTCCGAACCAGTAAAACAATTTCATAGAAACTTCGTGGATATATCTGACCTATGATTGGATACACGACTGTCAAGTTTCATGAATCTGGCTTTATTATTTTTTCGAATATTTAAAATTTGCTTTTAGAGTTGTATGGGAGCTATCCGAACAAGTGCAGCTATTCCATTAAAATTTTCATAATGTAAAAATTAACGAAAAATTATCCCAATTACAATAGTGTCCGTCCTTGGCAGAAAAAAAAACCTGTGAAAATAGGGTGATGTTTGCCTTATTCGTTTTTCAGTTATCGTGCGATCGGACAGACAAACGGACATGTATAAATCAACTCAGAGTTTTACGCTGAGCAAGAATGTATATATGTATATATGTTCATACCACTTACACTCTTTCAAGCTAAGGATAGCAGGCGAATTTTTCGAAGAAAACATCCTTCTTAATAGTACTTTAATAATCCAGTGTCTTATTAATTTTAAAATTTAATTCGAAATACCAAGGTTTTGACAAACTGAGCCTAAATTGAGTCGCAAGTAAGTTTTTAAACTATACGATTTAATGATTTCTTTTAATAAATAAGTTTTCGGACCTTAACAGTAAAAATTTAAATACAACTAAATTTATACATAAATATTTAAACGCTGCGGGCGTTTTGAAAGCTTAATCATATTTTCCAAATTTTAATACTGTTTTTACTATTTTTATCTTAAATATTATTATTACAATAGATTCGTAAACAAGCGTGATTAATATTTAAAACAAATCAAATCAAAAACAATCTTAATTTATGTACGAAAATAAAAACATCTTTATTCTCATTAAGAAACCGGTCGGTAATGTGAGAAATATGGTGTAAACAAGAGTATTTTTACCCAAATATTTAAAGTTCGACTTTAAACTAATAAGTTAATATTGATTTAAAAATTACAAATAATTACAATTAGTACATGTGCTGTTAATTTTTTAATAGTATTAGGCGTCGTTAATAACTAATTACCGACGTTGGATACCTTCTACCTTCAGATTATTCAAAATAATATTTTCTTTCACAAAACACCATTTTATCCATAGGTTGTTTTTCGATTTTAAAAAATTCCAAAAAATTTGATATTGACTACAATCGCATTTTGTTTGCACCTGCCTGGAATTCAGTATACCGATTTTTTCAATTCCAAATGAAAATCGAAAAAAAATTCGAGGGATTCCAGCATAACTATCGAAATCTTGTACATTTTATTCAAAAACTAAAAAGGGTTTCAAGAAGAAAATAAATTTTGAAAAAGGTTTAAATTTGGTGTCGATCAATATCGGAAGTCTTAAAATTTCTAATACATTTCTTATATACCAGAAAGACATTAAGTTCTTTTGAGTCCAAAAACGTATTAATAATAATGTTTTATAAATTTTAACTATGATATTTTTGAGATAATGAACGCGATATTAAAAGATAATGACGCTTAAATGTGCTGCTATATAAGTACGATTTTTAATTTTTGTCTGCTTATGTTTTGCATACTTTCATTCAAAATATTTTTTATATTTCATAAAGTATAAGAAAGAATCTTTTATAAGAACGTTTTATCAGCCCCACAATTCTTTTAATAAAATTATTAACAAAAATTTAATCACGCATTGCTAGCAGTAGTAATAAAGTGGGCCCCATCTGGACAACCACGGAAGCCTGTGCACTAAGCTAACAAAAAGACTCATCGGCAATCATGCAGGGATAAGTCGTTAACAAATAAAGGAGAAATTTCTCTGTTTAATAAATTAAAACTTATACAATATTATTATTCTTTATATAAAATAAATAATCAAAAACTTTCTAATATTAATAAATTCATCAAAAATTTTATTACAGTAGAAAACTTAGTACTCGTATTCACAATTAGTAAAAATCCTCAATAGTCTAAAGTATAACAACAAAGTATACCCCCTACTTCTTTCTTCAAACTTAAATTTTTATAGTTATTTTATTCCTTTTCACATTTATAACATTGCAAAGCATTTTATAAAATAAAATAATTATTAAATTATTTGTCAAACGTTTACCTTTTTTCTTCATACAAATGAAAGGCAGAACACACTGATATTTTGAGAGCTAAAAATGTTTAAACAAAGTGAACTACATTGGTATTCAAAATATTATAGAAGGTTACTTACTTTAAAAACAAAATGTAAATAATTGCCAATTTAATTTCTTTTAGTACTTTTTTTTATTCAAGGTTTCAGTATACATCGTCCAATTGTTTCAACAGTGACATATGTAACTCAAAAAATACAATTTCTAAGTTATTTGTAACTTAAAATGTTTCTTTTTTATGCAAAAGAAACATTTTTCTATTTCTCTATGAATCAATTCTCATACAAGGAGAAAAAAATATTAATTCTAAAAATTTACGAAATGCGATTTTCTTAAATATGTAAATTTGGAGTTATGTAAGGATAGACGCAAACAAATGACATGCAGTAAAATATTATTTTAAAGCAGATGTTTGTAACTATAGATGAAATTGATTAATTTCCTTACCCAACCAAAATGCCTTGATTACATTAAGATTATAACGTTTTCTGTGCTTAAATAAAATTGCTGCTGAAATTGACTACAATGATTGACGTAAATTTTCCATTGAACAATAATGCTACCAACATATTTTGTCCTCGTGGAAAATATTAAGTAAATATTTTTTTAAAAGTGTACTTAAATTTGTTTTTCATATTTCACAGCCCTTCCAAATTAGTAATAATGTTTTAAATTAATTTGCAATTTGTTCAAATTTCATGCACTTCCAATAAATTCCATTTACATTTTTTCAACTAAAGGATCGGTCTAACTGGCACTAATTTTTCTTTTAAGCAATACTGTGCAATTTTAATGCATTAACCGGTTTTCCTATAAAGAAAACAATCCTCTTTTTTTTTTCTTCAAGATTCAAGTTCAAAAAGCATAACTTTGATTTCATTTTCCCAAATGGGATCAAAAGAATTGAACTTCTTAAAATATTTTAAATGTAGTTAAGAAGAAATACTTAAATGAAGATGTTGGATATTATCAAATTAAATTTTATTTTATTTAATTTATTTTTAGTATGTAGTTTTTATTTTAAAAGCATTATAAATATTTAATTTTTATTTATTTTTTCTTTCCATTTAATAAGGTGGTTAACTTAAGTGAATGTGGGAAACGTATAGTATTCCCTGATGATAAAATTTTACAAAAATCTAATGTGACAACATCAACAACGATTAAGTCATTTCATATGTATCGTGATAGAACCCGTGATAACACACAATTTACAAAAGTTAATAAATTGTTTTCAAATAAAATCAATGAATATCCTAAAAGCGATTCGACTAAGATGCCTTTAAATAAAATTGAAATGACTACACAAATATATACGCCACCACCAAGTACATTGAGGCCAAGAAAATATAAAAATTGTGCATGGTGTTGTGATAATAGTACAGTTGAAATTGATGATGACACTGATATCGACAGTTTGGCAAATGTGAATTTTAATGGTAAATTGAATTTTATAATTTATTAAAAAATATTTATTAAATTAAGATTCCGGACACTTAAGAATCAAAGTATGTCGCCCTGCATCTAAGAATAATACAATCAATATTAACAATTTAAAATTTGTATCATTAATGTATGAATTGAAAAAGTTCCGTTCGACGAGGAATTTACAAATATGGCAATTTTTATTTTATTTTAACCATTCGGGCCTATGTAACATAAGAGTGTGTACGTCAATCTGCGTCAATCTAACCAAGCGTAAAATACATTATTAACGAAAATTATAAGATTTTATGTCTGTTATACATATATATACTCCACTGTGTGTAACTTACTAAAATTAAAGTTTGAATTAAAAATTTTTATTTTTATTTATTTTTAGATTTACCACTCTGTTCAAAATGTTGTTCTTTCCAACCGCAAACAGAAGAAGAATATGCAGCTGAACCTGATGAAGATGACAAACTTGGTAGTATTTCAATTGCAACAATTTTAGGAAAAAAATAAATTTTATGTACCGAAATGGAAAAATTTTACCTTAAACATACGTTAAGGGAAAAAAGTTCAAATTCTAAAAAGAAATATTTTTTTTTAATTATTTTTGCAAAAGGATTTTAATAAAAAATAACAAAGTTTTCTTAAGTAAATTTCATTATTTATTTTTATTTATGGCAAAACTTAAGTAATTTTGCTTCTCAGTTAAGAAAATTTGTAACAGTTTTTACCTGTAAGCGTCTAAATCATAAAAAAGTAATTGAATTTTAATGTTTTAACCATTACGAATTGAGTAAACCTTTTCAAATATTTAAATATTTTCTAGTTAAATAGTAAATAAATTTATTGCGGCAATAAGACCGAAATGTTAAACCGAATAAATGTTAATTTAATAAATTTTCCTATTACAAAACTCATAAAATAAAATACCGATCATTACTCATTTTAATACAAAATCCTTAAATCTACATAATTATTCGTTCTGTTTCTGTTATACAGTATATAAATTGTTAAGTATACATAATTATTTTAATTAAATAAACTTAAGTGGGTTATTACTTAAGACATTAAAAAATAATAAGATTGCATTTTCCAAAGAATAAAACGACATTATTCACATACGTTTGTAGGTATATACATAGGTATATTATGTATAATTACAAATATCTATAGAGCCCCTAAACGATTACTCTTTAGATTTTTAATATTAGAATATAATTTTTCTCATTCAAAATTATATATACTTACAAATTAAATGCCTATACAAGTTAGGTTAAGTTAGGTTAACGGAGCTACCGCAAGGTAGACATAGGTAAGCATGTCCAGTTCTGATATCGCCGGATCCGGAAAATCCCCCGCCCTCACGAGAAACAGGCGGAGCTTTTCAGAAACCAAGTAAGGCCCAAAGCATTTACACTCTTCATATCCGTAGTCCGTAAAAAGACAAATGATCTAAGAAATCTCCGCCATCTTCCTACCAAACCAATGCTTAAGAAGAGGACATGGGCCATCATCTTCTTCTCCTCCTCGTCACACCAGCTCCTGCAGAAATAGTTCCCATGGCGGCCAATCCTTCTGGCATGTTTTCCAATAAGACAATGATCCGTTATGACCACTATCACTAAAATGCCTATATGAATATATACTTACACATGTATATTATAAAGTTCTGTAATAACGCCATTTATTTAGTTATAATGACAAAAGAAAATAATCAACAAAAAAATACCTAAAAAGTAATTTGAAGAAATAAACAACTCATGCACTTTTGATTCAATATCAAATCAATTGATACGAATAACGCATTTATCATTCATTTTAAAAAATATCACTCACCTGTAACAATAACATTTTTAATCAATGTGTAATAAAAATTATATTTCCATCTATTTTTACTCATTTAAAACAACTCAATCACATTAAAATTGCTATCATAATAATTTATGGTCTCATATTATAGTTAAAATAATATTGCATATATCTAGGATGAAATAGAAAAATATTATATTGCTTAGTTGAGTGAATACTATTAATTGTTATTGTGAATTGTTATGCAATATTAATTTGATACTTAAACCTAACTTTAAGACGGATTTTAACTACTTTAAATAATTATACAAAAAAAAATTATTAAAAAATTAGTGTAATTATTAATTTATTGTTGTTGTTTAAATTTAATTATACATTAGTGTTATCAACGTATTGGATAAAAGTTTAAAATGAAAATTTTGTAATTCAAATTCAATAAATACTTAATATAGTTAATCATTACTACTTAACTACGGGATTTCATTGAGTTATTTACAACACACCAAATTAATATTTTTCAAAAATGGTTAATTCAACACCTTTATAGTGTCATCAATTTAATTGATACTTTGAACTTAATTAGTTGTTTAATTGAAAGTGTAATTAAAAATTTCACAATGCAGTAAGATTCCGAATTTATTTAATTATGTAAAATTTTATTAATTAATTGCATTATTGAACTTCAATTAATAAATCCTTTTATTTAAAATTAAAGCAGTTTTTTACAACAAAGAATAGAATTAAGCAACTCTTCATTAATGCTTTCATTTAAAAATCTTCCAGACACATACAAAAAAATTTTGCTTTATTTGATAAAAATATAAAACTCGTTTTTTATAATCTTGCAATTAAAATCCATTTCAATGAAATCCTTTTTCAGTTAAGTTAGATTTAAGTAAAATATAGCAAAAAAGAATCAAACTAATAAAATCGAAATTACTTTCATTAAAACACAAATACTAAGTATTTTTATACAAATAAGTCTTTAACCCCCGTTTGAGTTGATCGAATAGGATTTTATGCAGACGACTGACTGATTAATCTGTTGTTAATAAAACAAATGAAAAATAAATAATGTTAAAAGTTTTAAAAGAAAAAACGAAAACACTTTAAATAAATTTTATGAAGTAGAAGAACTCACTTCGGTTTTGTATTTGTACTACAAGTAGAGCTAATTTTTTAAAAATGCGTTCATACCGCACAATAAGCAAACAATGCATTCATTATTTAAAATAAGTCTGAATCTAATTTTTAAGATAATAAAAATTTAAAATGCTAATTTGTAATTATTCAACTTAAATAATTCATCAAAATGAAACTGTCTCTAGTGAAAAATAAATTCATGAATTTTATCAAAATATTAAAAAACATTTTTGCACAAAAAAACAAAGAAATATTTCGTTGACATGGCAAACTTTAAGACACCTGTATGTAAAACTTACACTTTTGTTGTTAACTATAAGATCATGAACAAGTTAAAATGGAAAATAATTAGTGATATTTCAATTACGAGTATGCTAAATACCAACTAATGTAAGTTAAATAACATAAAATATTTTATATAAAAAAGCCATAGATTCTTATTGAATTATTTTGAATGTAAAATTCAGAATTCTTTAAATGCATAAATTTAGCAAAATGATTATTCAACTTCATTTCAACTTACGGTCCCTTTTATCGAATGGTCACTTACGGAAAAACAACTTCAAAAGAATCCTCCAAATAGCAAAGAATAGAGAACAAAGACCTTCAAAATTTATCTAGCCTGATATAAAATTTGGCTATAAAAACCTTTTAAAATGTAAAATATCAAATTACTAAGCAATATAAAAAAAAAAAACATTTTTTTCATCTCAATATTATCACATCATTTGTTTCTTATTTATTCGCATTCACATAAAAAGAATCCTTTAAGGATACAGACGGTTATTTAACTTATAATCAGAGAGGGAAACATAAAAGAAGAACTCTTTGATAATAAAAACAAAATCCATATGGAAAATACAATTGCAATTTATTTATAAAAAAAAATTTTTAAGATGAAAGCAAGTTTAAACTTTAAAGGTATAGAAATTCTAAATTTGCCATTTTTAATTTTAATATACTCGAGGGTAACATTATTGTACTGAGGCTGCTTTAAAAATTTTTAAAAAATTTATTGCATATAATTGAGATATTTTGAATTTTCAACAGAATTACAGGACTATCGCTTTATAGCAATTTGTAAAAGTGATAGAAATTCATTTATTCAAAAAAAAAATAAAGTGATGAAAAATCAATTCAGTGAATATCTATGCAAATAATATAAAATAATATCATTAGCGTCACAAGATTACCGCTTTAATCTGATTGAATTCATTTCATTCAAAAAGTCATCAATTTAAAATTATTTTATTACAAAATTACTGTAGTGTGGGTGTTCAGTTTTAATTCTAGAATTTTTCAAACAACCTTAACAATTGATAAAACGAAAGTCAATCAATATTCTCCAATATTTAATCGCAGAGCAGAACAAAGAATAAAATTGAAGCAACCAATTTTTACGCACATCAAAGTTAGTATTAAAAATAAAATGATTTTTAACCCTTTCTATTGTATAAATTTTTATGATGACTTTAAAAAAAAAAACATAATTTTTATTATTACCGTTCTATGTTTCATATATTTTTATTACTATAATGGTAAAGTAGAACACCACATGCAGAGTTGCCATTAAATACTACTATATTAAAATACTGAATTACGATACTATGTTTCAATTAATTATTGATGAATTTTTGGTCAAATTGCTATATTCATACATACATATGTGTATACTATATATTTACTAACTTTAAGTGTAGAAAATATGCAAAATGAAAGATAACAAACAGCGTGTATCCTATAGTAGTATATTGGCTTATACCAGCGTATAAATTTATACACAATTTGTAAACAATAAAAGGCTCAACCAACCCCATATAGGAGATAAAGATAAAGATAGGCTCTTACAGGCAATTTTTGTTTGCCTGTCTTTGTAAAAACTAGGCTATAACTTCGGCTATGTCCGATATAACAGTCCTTTTATGTATATGTTAGAATGATCGTGTGATACTCTATTTAAGAAAAACACAACGAAGTACATACCAATTTCAATCCTGGTACTAAAAACGTTTAAAAAATAAATTTTTTGAGAATTTTAGTTTTTTTTTAAATAACAGTATTTTTTTGATGTAACGTAATATTGTAGCGGACCTAAAATTTTCAAAAGTAAAATAGTGTCATTATCAAAATTACTTTTGTGACGACAATTTTTAGTTTTTTCGCTGTTACGGTTTGCAAAAGAAATGACAAGCAATATTGCTCGTTTCCTGCAACTGTCGCTTACTGTATAATTACAATATAATGCTATCAGAAGGAAAACATACATTAATTAACTTCAAAACTTTGAAATAAGATTTTCTCAAATGTTCAAATTTGAATTATGCCAGTGTTGTAGTAAAAGAACAATGGGTTTTTTAATCAAAGTTAATCTTATAACCCGTTTTATATAACATCAAAGAAAAATCATGCTTTTATGTTTTTGTGTACCTACCTTACAATCAAAGACCTACACCCTCATACATGCTATTGCACCACGATAGGGATCACTTTGTATATAAGTCTGTGTAAAACTTGAAACTGTTGTTTAATGAAGTTCTTTAAAGTCATAATATTTGAATATA